CAGGAGGCAGGCTTGTAGAATGTGCCCTTTGGTGGTGTAAATTATTATATATGCCTGAGTGTTTTTTTTGTTTTGTTTTTTTTTAAAGAGCTAAAATGAATAGAGAGAAATATTGTTAACTGATGGTCCGTGGAGGAAATGAACAAAGAATATGATTTGTTGAATGTAAAACTGATGATCTGCCCTGTAAACTTTTACTCAATTCACCATAAAAACTTTTAAAAAATAATGAAATAAAATTTAAAAAGACTGGTCATTGAAAAGTAGAGCTTTTTTCTTTACATGCCAGATCTCTACAGGAAAAAAAAGCTATAAAAACTTCAAACTCTTTCCCCAGAAAGTTGGATCTCGAGTTTCTTCCAAGGCTAAAACTAAAACATAGTCTGACACTAGCTGGAAATGGTAAAATATTGAAATGTTTGGCAATAAAACATTTAGGTAACAATATTCTTATACTTTAAGGAATTGAGGTATTTTAAAATTCCAAACTATGAAGTTTTTTCATTCACATAAAGGTGTCCCTTTGCAGAAATAGGTTCTTTTTCTTTGGGACAGTTTCCTATCTTTACTACTTTCTTTTATAACAAATAATTTCATTAACCAGCAGGCTTGGAAGTAAGTTCTAAGTAAGGCTTGGAAGGCAGTTGGCACTGTAGATTTTTAAATGTTCCATCTTGTTCAATTCATAGTAGAGTTTGAAATATGAACAGCAAACGTAGCCCTGCAAAAAGCTTGCTGTTGTGGTTTATCAGTCGATTCTGATTCATAGTGACCTATGATATGACAGAGTATAATTGTCACATAGGGTTTCCTGTGGGTACAGATCACCAATCTTTTCTCCTGAGCCAAGCTGCCGGGGAGGTTCAAACCACCAACCTTTCAGTTTTCAGCCAGTCTTCTTGCAAAGAACTTTAGTAACACACAGCTGAATCATTCTGGGGATTGTCAATTTCATCACTGTCCCCTTTAGAACCAACTCTGTAGTTAAACACACAGCCAGATAGAGCCCTCAGCTGGGTATCAAACACATCTTCCATTTGTACTCACCAACTTCTCCAAGCTATTTACATTTGTTCTCATTAGTCTGAGCTACGCACTGTTGTTGTTCTTACGTGCTGTTGAGTCGGTTCTGACTCATAGCGACCCTTGAAGCAGCTGGTAGGTTTGAACAGCCAACCTTATGGTTCAAACCAACCTTGAAGTCCAGTGCTTATCCTAAAGCGCTACACCAGGACTCCGAGATGGGCACTATATACACAGAAAGAACCTTACTAACAGAAATGACCCCACATTCTCACTGAAAATTACATTAATATTTTCTGTTCCTTCATTAAAGAGAATCAAGTGAGCCAAAGCTAATGGGTGATACAAATCAAAACAGGATTCATTTTTATGAGATGCAAAGGAAAATGCTGACTTGTAGGATGTACAATGCTGATTCAGAAATTAGCAAAGTAACCTTGGCTGGTTCTGTACCATACTAGCACAAAACTCAGTATTTAACTGCTTATTATCATTCAATAGAAATACGACTTTCTAATGTGTCCATTTTGAATTAAAATATTAGGACATGTGTGTCAGAGAATGCAACCTGCCCACTAAGTAACTCATAACATTAAAGTCAGGGGCACTGAAGTCCCAACTAATATCAACTGACAGACGACAGAAATAGTTAGGACTCAATTTGGACAAGGAAGAAATTAAACGAGTTGGGGACTTTCTGAAGGTTTGTCTGTTTTTTCTTCTCTCTTATCTTTGGTTTAACTTCCCCATGTAAACATTTAATAAATTTTTACTGTTGATGCCTCAAACCTTTTTTGGAAATTGCTAATTGTTATAGATTAAATTGTGTTCCCCCAAAATATATGTCGACTTGGCTTGGCTATGATTCTCAGAATTATGTAATTATCCTCCATTTTGTGATCTGATGCAAATCCTCACCTCTGTGATGTTAATGAGACAGAGTTAGAGGCAGTTACATTACTAAGATTAGGTTGTATCTTGAGTCACCCTCTTTACAGATATGAGAAATTAAACAAGCAAGCGGTGATCACAGGGACCTGACCACCAGCAAGAAAAAAGAGCCAGGAGCAGAGCTTGTCATTTGAACCCGGGATCCCTGCATCAAGAACCCCCCAGATCCAGGGAAGACTGATGCCAAAATATACAGCAATTTCCAAGGACGGTGGGTCCACAGGTGTTGTAAGGAGATAAGGGCCTTTCCCCAGAGCTAACATTGAGAACACCTTCTCCTAGACCTGGCACCTTGGTATGCCATTGTAGGACAAGCACTTGACCACAGAGTTCTTTTAAACTGTAAGGTCAGCAGTTCAAATCTACCAGCTGCTCCTCGGAAACCTTATACAGGGCACTTAACAACAAGCCTCCTAAACAACTGTGAGGATGGTACAGGTCTGAGCAGAGCTTTATCTGTTGCACCGAGGATCACTATGAGTTGGAACCAACTCAATGGCACCTGGCAGCTGACAGTGACAAACTGTGAGAGAATAAATTTGTTAAAGCCATCCACTTGTGGTATTTCTGTTACAGCAGCTCTAGAGAACTAATAACTAGTGAACAAACTAGAAAGAAACTTACACTTTGTCCATTACCGAAAAAGGAAAAAAAATTAAATGAACTGTTACATATTTCATATTAGGCACAAATCACTGGCAGCAACTGCTGCCCACAGACTTAGGAGCCCAGGTTTCAGATCCCAAGAATTAAATAGACAAAATTTAAATTAATATATTTTTTAAAGCATTCAATTCAAATGCAAGTAGAAGAGAAACAAGTTTGACAGCATGTTCTTAACTTTCCCTTCTCTCAAAAGTCATTTTTAATTCCAGGAGCCTTTATTCTAGCACTGTTTCAATGCACACTAAAGTACTATAACCATTATACTGAGGAGGTAATTGACACCCCAGGGAGTTTTAAATAAAGCTGTAGTTTACATCAAGTTGGCCTACAAGTCCTATGCTTGATACTGACAGATAGAATCCAGATCTCCTGGCTCCCAGTCTCAGTCCTTTGGTGTCCTATCTCATCATGTTCCCCCCTTTCCAGGGTTTATTCACTCAAAACTATGCATTGAGTACCAAGTACGTGCTTGACATTGTTTTAGGTGTTTGGGGGTACATTGGTGAATAAAACAAACATCCTGCCCTGGTAGAGTTAATTCACAGTGATACAACCACTAACATAAACCATAACACTAATAGTATTATTACATTTGCATGTTGTTGTTAAGTGCCAAGTCAGTTCCGACCCTTAACGCGACCCTTTATAGGGTTCCTTAGGAACTTCTGGTGACCCTGAATCACCAACCTTGCCGTTCAAATCGACTTTGCAGTCCAGGGCATTAACCCATAGTGTCACAAGGTCTTTTCCTCTACTGGTGGTGGTGATGTGTCGCGGAGTCGGTTCCGACTCATAGCGACCCTGTACAGGATTTCCGAGGCTTTAAATCTTTACGGGAGCAGAAAGCCTCATCTTTCTCCCAGGGAACAGCTGGTAGTTTCGAACTACTGAACTTGAGGTTCCCAGCCTGATTTGTAACCACTACGCTAACTCTGTTGTTGTTGTTGTTATGCGCCGTGACATCAGTTTTGACTCATAGTGACCCTGTACAGGGTTTCCTAGGCTGTAAATCTATACGGGAGCAGAACGCCTCATCTTTCTCCCCCAGAACAGCTGGTATTACAAAGGTGTAAAAAAAACAAAACAGAAAGTATTTATTTTCTAACACACACTGCTCTCTGTAAATAAGTAATCTCTTTTATCTATGGATTCCAGCTAGACAAGCTTTCACGGCAATCTCAATCTCCGGTAGGGTTAACACGTTTTTAGGCTGGAAACTTCACTCAATACCGCATCCCGTAACTTAAAAACACCGGTTGGGAGGATTTTTCTCTTTAAAGACATCATGGCAGTAGATACTTTCAACGCCATCTGATCACATAAACAACTATTCTTCCTCGGTTGGCTCTTTACCTTCATCTTCAAGCGCTCTAACGCCAACACAGACAGCTAGGCTACTCGAATATCATCTATCACCTATACTGTTGTTGTTATTGTTAAGTGCCTTAGAGTGGGTTCCGGGCCCTAGTGACCTTGTATCGGGTTTCCAAGGAGTGACTGGTGAGCTTGAACCGCCGACCTTGTGGTTCAAACAGACTTTGCAGTGCAGCGCATTAACCCGCAGCGCCACACCAGGGCCACCCGCGAGACAGTAACATCCTGCCATAGCACTTCCCCTCGGCTGCCCTCGGAACAATTCCTCAGTAGTAACTTTTAATTGAAATAAAAGTTTGTTCCATCTCCAACCCTTTGCTTTTGCTTCAAGGAGCTTTCACTTCTAATTTGATCCTTAGGAGAACTCTGGGGGTGGGCAGTGATGACCAAAGACCTCAGCTGAAGGGGAGGGAGCCTCTTCAGGACGAGACCAGGGGAGGCTAGTGAGGCGCTTTCAGACACTCTCTCGGCACTAGCCAGACCTCCAGAGTGAGCGCCCCTTAATTCTGCGCCCTAGGCACCTCACTCTGGTCACGGCCCAGCTCTTACAGCTACGATTTCCCAAAGCCTTCGCACGCGGAACCCCCGTCTCGGGCCCGCCCCAGGGCCAGACTCAGGTCTCCGGGAGACGCACCAGGCTAAGGGCCCCGCAGGCGCCCCCGCCCACCCGCGCCCACCCGCGCCCACCTAGCCCTCCAACAGGATTCCCCGACCCCGGGCCCGCCCCTGCCGCTCCTCCTCCCGGACACACCGCCCAGTCCGCCTCAGACGCCGACCTCGCCGGGGGCTCCCTCATTACGTCGTTCCCTTTCCCACAGCCCTCGGAATGGACAGGGGACGCCCTGGCACTCTCGACTAGGGAGTCAGTGTAACTCTCCGCTTCCTCCCAACGCCCTGATCCCTTCGCCTCTCCTTCCCTCAGGCCCGGGCGGTGAAGCGCAGAGGCCCGACCCCACAGCCCAGTCCCTGCTTGTTTACTCACTCGCCTTCCATCCTGAGCCGCAGGGACCCACCGCGAGCACGCCTGCGCGTCTCGGCCACGCCCCTGCGCCGCGGCCCTGCCCCACGCTTCCTCTTGGCGCGTGCGCATTGGGCCACGGGCCTGGCCACCTGGTTTTCTTCGTGCGGTTGTCTTTTGAGGCTAGTACTAGGGACATCTGAACTGGAAGTGGTACAGCACGAGTCTAACAGTTTTGAAGGTGACATTGTCAGGGAGAGGAGGAACCCTTCTTTAGGCTTGACTTTATTCAGCGGTTGCACCATTCCAACACTCTGGTGACAGCTATTTCTCACGTAAACATTTGAAACCAACGTGGAACCCCTTCAGACTGACCGCGTCATACATAGCGAAGAAGCTCAAAGTTACCCTGTGTGTTAAATGCTGTGGAGTCGATTCAGATTCATAGCAACCCTGTATTGTGTTTCCCAGGCTGTAAATCTTTACAGGAGCAGAAAACCTCATCTTTCTCTCACAGAGCAGTTGGTGGACTCGAAATCATAAAGACATTTATTATGGCGTACGTAGTGGTTACGAAACTACCAGCTGTTCCGCGGGAGAAAGATGAGGCTTTCTGCTCCCGTAAAGATTTGCAGCCTTGGAAACCCTGTACGGGGTCGCTATGGGTCGGAACTGACTTGACGGCACTTAACAACAAAGCCATTTATTATGGTCAACTCTACTTTGAGGAGGCAGCTCTTCCCCAGTTGTATTTTGAGTGCCTTCCGCCCTGAGGGGTCCATCTTCCGGCACTATCTCTGACAATATTTTGGTGCTCTTCATCAAGTTTCATTATTCAATATTCAGGTGCTACCTAACAGTGTACCTCTGTGTTCATAAGGTTTTCAGTGGCGAAATATTTTGAAGTAGTCTGCCTGTCCTTCTTCCTAGTCTGTCTTAGTCTGGAGGCTCAAGTGAAACCTGTCCACCATGGTTGTACCCTGCTGGTATTTAAAATACTGGTTGCATAACTTCCAGAAGCACAGCAACATACAAAACACCATAGTACGACAAACTAACAGATGAGGATGGAAGGTGTACATAGAGTCACTGTCCCAAAAAGAAATGGTCAGTGTTCAATCATTTCAAGAACAAGAACCAATGGTACTGAGGAAGAAGTCCAAGGTGCACTGAAGGCATTGGTGAAGAACCAGGCTCCAGGAGTTGACAGAATACAAATTAAAATCTTTCAATAAACTGATGTAGCACTGGAAACACTCAGTCACCTATGCCAAGAAATTTGGAAGACAGGTACCTGGACACCCCATTGAAAGATATCCATATGTGTGCCCCTTCCAAAGAGAGGTGACCAAGTGGAATGTGGAAATCATCAAACAATATCATTAATATCACATGCAAGTATAATTTTGCTGAAGATAATTTAAAAATAAATGCAATACTACATCGACAGGGGACTACCAGAAATTCAAGTCAAATTCAGATAAGGATGTATAACAAGGGTGTCATTGTTGACTTCAGAGAATACCAGAAAGATGTTTACTTGTGTTTGTTGACTGTGCAAAGGCTTTCAAATGTATGAATCCTGACAAGCTATGGATAACATTGTGAAGAATGGGTATTCCAGAATACTCAATTGTGTTAATGAGGAATATATATATATACAGAGACAGTCATTCTAACAGAATAAGGGGGTACTGAATGGTTTAAAATCAGAAAGGTGTGCTCCAGGTTTGTAGTCTTTCACCATACTTATTCAGTATACAACAAATAATCCATGAAGCTGGATTATATAAAGAAGAATATGGCATCAGGATTGGAGGAATACTCATTAACAACCTATGACATGCCGTTGATATAACCTTGCTTGCTGGAAGCAAAGAGAACTTGAAATACTTATTGATGAAGATCAAAGACTACAGTCTTCAGTACAGATTGCACCTCAATGTAAAGAAAATAAAAATCCTCACTACTGGACCAATAAATAATATCATAAATGGAGAAAAGATTGAGGTTGTCAGAGATTTTGCTTGGCTCCACAATCAACACTCATACAAGAAGCTGTTAATAAATCAAATGACATATTTCATTAGGCAAATCTGCTGCACAAGACCTCTTTCAAGGGCAAAGATGTCAGTTTAAGGACTAAGAGGACCTGACTTAAACCATGGTATTTTCAATAGCTTCATATGCATATGAGAGTTGGACAGTGAAGAAGGAAGACCAAAGAAGAATTGATGCATTTGAGTGATGGTGTTGGAGAACAATATTAAAAGTACCATGGACTGCCCAAATAACAAACAAATCTGTGTTGAAAGAAGTACAGTCAGAATGCTCCATAGAAGCCATGGTGAGACTTCATCTCTCATACTTGGGACATGTTATCAGTAGATACCAGTTCTTTCATCATGCTGGGTAAAGTGAGGTGTTAGCAAAAAAGAGGAAGACGTCCAACGAGGTGGGCACAGTGGCAGCAGCAATGGGCTGAAGCGTAACAGTAATTGTGAGGATGGTGTAGGGACGGGGCAGTGTTTAGTTCTGTTGTGCTTAGGGTCGCTATGAATCGTAGCCAACTCAATGGCACCTAACAACAATAACAGATGGCCTCTCATGACAGTCACTATTCACCAAAGTAGGATGTGGTGGTGGTGGTGTGCCATTGAGTTAGTTTGACTCATACTATTCAGATAGGGTTTCCGAGGCTGTAAATCTTCATGAGAACAGAAAGCCTCGTCTTTCTCCTGTGGAACCACTGATGGATTCAAGCTGCTGACCTCGCGGTTAGCAGTCCAATGTAAAGGCTAGAGTTCCTGAGCATAGGATGTGTAACATTGTTTTTGTGGACTGACTATGTTACAGGCTTTCAATTGCCTTAGAAGCAGACTGGCCCATCTTTCTCCTTAAGAGTTGCTGGTGGGTTTGAACTGCTGACCTTTTGGTAAGCAGCTGAGTGCTCTAACCACTGTACAACCAGGGTTCCTTCCCTTTAGATCCCCACCCACTGCCAGCAAATCAATTCCAACTCATAGCAACCCTGTCTTGAGTTTCCGAGGCTGTAAATCTTTATGGGAGCAGAAAGCCATGGAGCCAATGGTGGGTTTGAACTGCTGACTTTGTGGTTAGCTGTCCAGGGCTTATCCTAAAGTGTCACCAGAACTCCTTTCTTTCTAGATCAGTGTTTCTCAAACTTGGCTCACATTGAAATCACTTGGGGAGATCTAATAAATACTGATGCCTGATTTCTACACCCAGAGACTTTGATTAGTTGCACTAGGGTATGTTGTTGGTAAGTGCCCTTGAGTTGATTCCGACCCATAGCGACCCTGTATAGGGTTTTCAAGGAGCAGCTGGTGAGCTTGAAACACCGACCTTGTTCAAAGGGCTTTGCTGTCTGGTGCATTAACCCACAGCACCACACCAGGACTCTACTCTAGGGTATGTTGTTGTTGTTGTTGTTATGTGCCGTCGAATCGGTTCCGACCCATAGCGACCCTGTACAGGGTTTCTATGGCTGTAAATCTTTATGGGAGCAGAAAGCCTCATCTTCTCCTGCGTATCAGCTGGTAGTTTTGAACTGCTGACCGTAAGGTTCACAGCCCGATTCGTAACCACTACACTACCAGAGCGCCTTACTCTAGGGGCCTAGAATGGGTCAATTTAATGTGTAGTCAAGTTCAAGAACTATTGTACTACATAAATAATTTTAATGAAAGAAAGAATGCGGGTTATCTAAGGAGAAATGTTCAGGAGATATGGCTGTCAGAAGAGGCTACTGAGAGCTGTGGAAAACATTTTGATGGAAACTGAAGCCCTGGGAGTGGACAGCATTGCCTTAGGAGAATATGTTAAGTGAGAAGAGGAGGAATACAAAGAAAAAAATTTGAGGTAACAAGGAAAGTATGCTCACAGAAGTCCCAGAGTGGTGCAATTTAGCACTTGAGCTCTGGTAGCGTAGTGGTTACAAATCGGCCTGTGAACCGCAAGGTCAGCAGTTCGAAACTACCAGCTGTTCCGCGGGAGAAAGATGAGGCTTTCTGCTCCTGTGAAGATTTACAGCCTCGGTAACCCTGTACAGGGTCACTAAGAGTCAGAACCGACTCCGCGGCACATAACCACAACAATAGCCAAAAGGTTGGCAGTTCAAACTCACCCAGTGGTGCCTCAGAAGACAGGCCCGCTTTGGAAAGAACTCAGTCTAAACTATCCTATGGAGAAGTTCTATTCTATTAACATGTGTGGTCATCACCACGAGTTGAGTCAACTGGACAACTAACAACAACAATGGTTACAGACATATTTGGAGGTAGAAAGGAAGAAAAGTGAGGGCATTTGATTTATTAAAACCAGTTTTATATCCCAGCTTCACCACCGCGTTCTCATTAAGCATCAACGCCCTCATGAATCTTCTGGATGCTTCCACTTTACACTCATACCCTTTCCTAGCTGCCATGGCGTCTGGCACAGCACTAGACAGATGGTTCAGTAATCCTTGTTTACTAAAGGATTATAAAAACAACTTTCGGCATTACCAATAAGCTTTGGGTTCTTGGGGAAATTTGTTTGCCATTTGCTTCCTCTGTATTATGATGAAAGAAGGTTTTTCCTGAGCACAGACTCTTTCTTCGTTGATAAAAAGTTCCATGCAGCACTAGCAGCCAATCTTTGTTTGGCTAGCTCTTGCCCCTTGCCCTACAACTCTCTTTATTTTCCAGTCCTTCAGGTCTTTCTCCTATAAATTTGTAGAAAAACTCTTGGCCCGTTATCAGCAACTGAAGCTTTGAAAAACAGTACCATCATCATCCCTGCTCCACTCCTCTGCACCCCACCCCTAGTCAGTTGGTGGGAAAAAGGAATAATTGTGTCACTTCTGGCTTCCAGTTTCTCATCCTGCTTTTAAATTGGAGGCCTCTGGGGCTGAAAGGAACTGGACAAAGTGTGCTAAGTAGCCTAATAGGTTCTTTTTCTGAAAGTTCCCTATTGCTGAAAAATAAAATTATGTGTTTAATTTCTGAAACCCAATGCCTGATTTGCCTTGGCAGCCATTCTCTTGGACTTGGCCGAGA